GATGGTACGGTATAGATTCTTAAGGTGCTATCTCAATGAAATATTGAAAATTCTCTTCGATTCTTACCTAAAAAGTCATCAGTTATTGCATCTGAATCTATCAATAATGGTGAGTACGATATGTATTTATCATTTTCTGAAATACAAAAAAAAAACAATGCTTTAAAAACAAGGAAGAATGACGCATAGATCTACACCTTCAAGCAAACTCTTGGGACCTTAAAGGTATACTACCTCTTAGAATGGACATAAAATTTGAAGTCTCAAACTTGGTGAATAAGTGTATATATTTATCAGTTGGACTTATGGTACCATGACTAAAGAATAGAATCTCTATATAAGAATATATCTATTAAACTATTATTGAATTGAAAAACGCTTCTAAGCATGTTTTAAAACTACTTAGTTTAATGAATTATTACTTAGTTTTATAGATTTATTAGATTATAGAGAGATTCTGTTGTATAGTTTTAACACCTAGTCAGTCCACTGATGAACAAAGACTCATTTTGGCAAAGTTTTAAAATTTCAATTTTTTGTTCATCCAAAGAGATAGTGTACCTTTAAAGACACACATTGTCATGTATGTATTCTTATACAAAGAACGAGGACGACATCGAAATTTGGTTCCATATTTTTCCAATCCATTTGAACTCAGAGATGGAATATTTGCAAGGTAATATAGATGTTACTTACTATCGACTTTTAACAAAACAAAATTTTCTCTTTCTGTAAGAATTTCATTGGCGTATTTATTAGGAGAATCTCTTAAAAACTTTACATTTCCATTTTCATCAGATAATTCTACTTCCTCGGCTGCGAAAAAATACAAAATAATTGTCAATTTTAATATCAAACCATAGGCTTTCAGTAACAAGTTACGTACAGTCGTAAAAACATCCAACGGTACAACTTGTCAACAACCAACATAGATACCGATTGAACCAAGTACGCCCCCCTCCCCCCGCCCCTCCCCTTTTCTCTTTCCGCAAGGATAAGATATTTCAACAAAGCCACCAAATCACATTTAAAGCCATTTCTAGTCTAATTTAAATGTCAATTTAAAGGCTTAGTTGAACTTTTATAACTTTACGAAATTTGACTTATTAAGTCGAGGAAGAGATTAAAAATGGCTGTGAACTACGTTCGTGTATGTTATTTCCACACGAAGTAAGAACCTTACGTAATTTCTTATGACAAGTTCCTTCGCGATTAGTGACGTCATCAAACACATGGTTTCTCTTAAAAATGGGTTCCATTATTATAATTTATAAAAATTAAACTGCTAAATCTTACATGAATAGATATAATGTAGAGGTATTCTAATGACTTGGAAAAATACCAGTTTGTCTCACATGTCCATTATTAATTTATAATTAGCTAAATTAGAGGAGAATTTCAATGAGTGACCGATCAAGAAAGGTGTCAAAATGTCGTTTTTTGTTTATCCAGACTGTACATACATGGACACATATTATTGGTTAAAACTCTTATGCAATAAAAACATAATGATAATACATGAGATTTCATTAGAAACAACAACTAATCAAATAGTTTGCTTAATTTGACACTAAAAAATAAGGAAACCCATCTTTAAGGGTCATTACATATCTGGTACCTAGTACACTTACCATCAAAACCTCGGCACCTATCTCTTATATCCTTCAATAAAGAAATTATTCGACAGTTTGGGTTGAAAATTTCACTGCGAGATTCTGAAAAAAATGTAATCAAAAGATAGTGGGAAAACGTAGGATACAGTAAACAATAATATGTTCCCTTCGGTACTGGAACATTTATGTTCCCTCTGGTACTTGACAACCATGTTCCCTATAGTACTGGAATGTACTTAAATGCCTATGTTCCCTCTAGTATTGGAATACAGAATATGTTCCCCACTTTACTGGAATACTTATGTTCCTTTATAGTAGGTCATTTTCGGGTGTTGATTTGGGTCTTGAATATATTTAAATAGTCTTCAGAATCACAAGAAATGTTCAAAAATGGCATAATTCCTTCAAAAATATCTCTAGGAATTTTACTTTCTGTTTCTATATCTTATACATGTATGTATTTTCTATGTATGGCATAGTGTCAAAAAAAGGCGAGTCGTCGTTTAAACATTTTCAAATGCGTAGGATTCTGAACACACATTTGGAGATTTGGAGGCTTTAAATGTCATGTTTTACGCATTACTGGAATACTTGTGTTCCTAATATGTTAATTATGTTTCAACAGGTGTGGAATACTTATGTTAACCTTATACACATACATAACTATGTCCCCCTTGTACATTAACATAAACATAACTTACCTCCGTATTTAACTGTTACAAACATTGCGTCCGACATAGAAAGGGTTTGTTTACAAAACTAAAAATGTCAATATCGATATACGAGTTAGATTCACACCGATTTGTTTGCTCTTTTCTGACGAGCTGTTCCGTTAGTTTTCTCACATTCTTATTCAATATATTCTGAAAAATTTAGTCACATCCAAAAAATATATAGTGGTACACGAAATCTGCAGACCGCAAGTAATGAATTCGTCGACGAGGTGTATGTAACCTTAAATGCTTATGCATAAATAAGTGTTATCAGTAAACCATTCAATAATGTGTCACTAGTTAACACACGACAGTAAATAAATAACCAGGGAAAGCTAAAGTATTGGAAATATATTCAACTTTAATCCGTTAGCAACCAACCGTTTTACCTGATGATTGATTTATTGAATGATATAATCAGTTAAAGCTCCAATGTGTCATTGTAATTTTCTTTTTTTCCACTACTTAAGAATTAAATAGGATTACCTTTGTTTTTACTATAGGTATAAAGATCTTAATATAGCTCAACCCCACGGTCAGGTCCCTCACCGCTTCATCGCCTTCATCGAAACATTAATGTAGCGCTCTGCACGATCTGCAAGTTCGTTTACTTGATGAGATAAAGGCCTATCTTTAAGGTATTGTAAACAGGTTTTCTAAAAAAGATTATGTGTATCGAGGACACTCATCGCATCAATTTGCACCATTCCAATTTTCAATCAGACGTCTAGGATTCCTGCAATTCCACTAAAATCTATGCGTCTATGTGTATGGTAACGTCACTAATCGCGAAGGGCCTTTAATGTGATAAAGCATATTTTGCGATTATGAAACACTTAGGCTTTGTGGAATTGCAGGAACCACAGACGTCTAATTGAAAATTGGAATGGGCAAATGTATGCTATCAGTGTCACAGATAAGCATAATTGTTTCAGAAAACCTCTTTACAATCCCTTTTACGAAATCGCAGAGAACTAAATTTGTCCAATGCAATAGGGTTTTTTTTCACCGAGTTATAGTATACTTCTGAATCCTTGATGCAAATCCTTATATAGAATTCGATTTGGACATTATCAGCGAAGGTAAAATTGAAAAATTCTTGGATTGCGTGGTTTTAGAGTAAGTAAGAAGGTGGTTGAACGATCAGCTTTCTTAATAACGTACTATCATGACGCTCTGTCTTCATTGTTTTATTATCTGTATCATATAATCGGTTTACCATGTCCGCATTCATATAGGATTGTCTGTCTTAATATGGCGATTAGGTGTTGTTAATACCCTCTAATCAGCCCTTTGCGTCATTAAAGGGACATTACCAGCAAGGGTACCAAATGGTCAAGCGAAAATTATGTGGGCCCTTTAAAGATTACCAAACTTTCATTCAGCTTTTTTTTTATTAGCTTTCATTTTAATATAGCCATTTTAGTTAGGGTCTAACGACAGCCCTCTTTAACATTCGTCACAATAACCTTTTGACCTAACCTGACGACATATGCTTTAACCAATCACATTCCATCACTAACTCACAAAATCCCAGCGCTGGAGAAGGCAGAAATTTGATTGGTTAAAGAAGGTGTAGGTCAAAAGGTTATTGCGACGAATGTTCAAGAGGGCTGTCTTTAGACCTTTCCTGAAGTGAATTAAAACATAAAAACGAAAAGAAAGTTGGTCTAATTTAAATAGACTAGAGATTATCGAACACTAATAGATACAATTTTGACAGAGGTTTTAACCGGGGTTGGAACATATGAAGTTAAATTGGTGTTTGACAAGTCCACTGTTTTTTGCAAGAAATAGAATTGATTTTTGATTTTCGGGGGAAGCTCTCTTTAATGTCAAGAACCAATGTAACAAGTCTATGACGTATGTCTGATCAAGTCACACAATTTTTGTCCAAAGTCCACTACATGTATTTTGATTGAGTCATTGATGGAAGACGTGACATCGTAAACCGGTTTCACAACAGTGTGAAGCGACGTCATTTAATTCAAACCAAACCAAGGTGATGAAGAGGGAAGGTGCGATCGGCTTTGAAATTTTGGACAAATCTCTAATGTAGTTTTCAAAGTCAATAATACATTTCGAATTCGATTTTTAAAGGGATGGTGAACATGTTTTCTAAATTTTCCATGTGTTTGGGGATACTGATAGCATCAATTAGCGCCATTCCAATTTTCAATCAGACATCTGTGGTCCCTGCAATTCTACTTTAACTAAGTGTTTGATGACGTCACTAATAGCGAAGGGCCTTTTGTGATAGTGGCATCATCCCTTTAAAATTTTGATTGTTTGATTGTAATTTTGCTCTTGAATTATTGCGTCCAATCGGGAAAATTTGACTTTTTTTTATAGTAAATCTTAAAAAATATCATAACGTCATCTGAAAAGTTCTCACCACCTACAAGAAAAAATTGTGATTGGTCGCTTTCCACTTTGGTTATCTTGTCTTCCCAAGTTGAACATTAATTGCTACAGGGCTTAATATTATGTATTTATCACTATTACGACCAACTTGGCCGTTAAAAGGAGCACATTCTTGTAATGAAACATTTTCTTCACTTATGGAGTTTACGTTAAGCTCAATATAGCGACTGAGTGTTTGAAGACGTCAATAATCGATAATGTAGCATATTTTGCGATTAGTGACGTCATCAAACACTCAGTTTTTGGTGGTATTGCAGGAACAAAAGACGTCTGACTGAAATTGGAATGTGGTGCAAATTGATATATCAGTGTCCCCCGATACACATAAAAAAGTTAGAAAACCTCTTCACAATCCCTTTAATGATAAGATATATTCCGAAATTACATTCTTTAGTTGTGTAAGTACAAAAACACGACAAGATCCTGCTCCCATTTTTTATCCGAAAAGATGTTCTTAACAGGTGGAAAGAACAAGTTACCACTCCCAATATAATCATCTGATATATAACTTTATATCAATGTACACCATTGTTCCCTTATGAACACCTGGTATCCAATGGCGACGCCAGCCTCCCAACACTGGGGGGGTCCAGAATGACTCAATAGGGGGACAACTATTGAGGCTCAATTTAAAATGCGACAACTCTGCGGAGGCGTCATAGTCGCAAGTCTATCATGGAGCGTCTGAAAGGGTTCTTAGATACCCAATGGCACCCACTAGCAGGGATCCATAGGGAGTACTTGTACCCCATGTTTGGAACCGGGAATGTTGATCAACAATAACACTGTGGAATTCGATTCTTTTATGCATAGTGATTGCTTTGATAGCTTATAGCTTATATTAGGACTTTAAAACGACCAAGTAGGGCATACACAGGCCACCTACTCCTAAGGGACCGCCCCATCTAAATAAGTAGAGAATTACCAACAGAATTCCAATGAGTGATCGATCAAGAAAGGTCTAAAAGTATTTTTTTGTTTATCCAGACTGTATAGACATAAATGATTGGTTAAAACTCTTAATTTATGCAAAAAGAACATAATGATATGATTAAGAATACATGATAATTCATTAGAAACACCAATTATTTTGCTTAATTTGACCCTAAAAAATAAGGAAACCCACCTTTAACATAATTTATGTAATGTCATGTCCTTATTTTAAAATATTCACGGGGGAGGGGCCCCAACTCAACTTAAGTCCACGCCTTACTCATTTCACGATGGATCGTTTGAACAGTTTTATGGCATAAATTCAAATATCATCTACATTGGATCTATCTGTGAAAGCTACTAGCATGATCAATCAATTTTTATGTCTGTTTTACATGTACAAACATACTTGTTGACGATTCATTTTTATAGGTGACCGATTATGCAAATGAAGAACAGTGCCAATATGGTTTGATAAATTACCTTTCAACTAAAACATCCTCAATGGTGGCAAAACGTGTTTGATATAATTTTAACCAAAATGACCCAATCTTAAAATATGCGATTATAGGCTACGAATCAAGTTTTAACCAAATGACGAAGTTGTTACACATCTTCACAATTAATCCGAAAATCTAAACTCAAAGTCATTTGAAAGCAGGCCCGTAGTTAAGGGGGTCTCTTAAATATTCGTCAAAATAACCTTTTTTTTACCTAACCCTGCTTTAACCAATCACATTGCTGCCCTCTCCAGCGCTGGCATTTTGTGTGAGAATGAATGAATTTGATTGGTTGAAGCAGATGTCATCAGATTGGGTCAAAAGGTTATTTTGACGAATGTTTCAGAGGCCAGTCTTTAGATCCTAACTGAAGTGGCTATATGAAATTAAAAGCTAATAACGAAAAACGGAACGAAAGTTTGGTCTTATTTTAATAAGACTGAATGGTAAGTTTACAGAACAGGAAGACAGAGCTTTATTAAATTGAGTCATGGGTTTCGGACTATACGATTAGTAATCTGGTTTGGTTTTTATTATAAAGTCTGCATTTACATCCGAAACTTCACTTTTTAGATTTTTGATAAACTAGGAAAAAGGGTAAGTTTACACTGTGTGCCATAAAACGCACTTTTATGCTATACTTTTTCTGGCATTTTTTGGCACTTTAACAGAAACTGAATAAGTGTTTCTGACACCAATTTGCAGAGAAGGCATGGGTGGTTCTGACATAAGTTTACAAAGAAGGCATGCGTTTTTCTGACATAAATTTCTAGAGAATGCGTGGGTGGTTCTGACATAAGTTTACAATGAAGGCATGGGTGTTTCCGACATTAGTTTACAAAGAAAGCATGAGTCTTTCTGACATTAGTTTACAAAGAAAGCATGCGTTTTCCTGACATTGGCTTACATTAGTAGGCATTCCCTTTACTGACATGATTTTACAGAGAAGGCATACTTTTTCTGACATGAGTTTACAGAGGAGGCATGTATTTTTCTCACATGAGTTTGTAGAGAAAGTATGAATCTTTCTGACATAAGTTTACAAAGAAGGCATTCGTTTTCTGACATGAATTTATAAGAGAGTCATGAGTTTTTCTGACATGAGTTTACAGAAAAGGCATGGGTGTTTCTGACATAAGTTTACAGGGAAGGCAGGAGTGTTTCTGACATTAATTTACAGAGATAATGTGAGCTTTCTAACACAAGTTGACAGAAAGAGTTTCAATTTTTTGGGCATGAGTTACTATCAGTAATATGTCTGATTATGTTAGATTCTTCAAAATGAAGATATCATTAACTGCACTGCTGTTATTATCAGTAATATGTCTGACTATTTTAGATTCTCCATAATGAAGATATTATTAACAGCACTGCTGTTATTATCAGTAATATTTTAGATTCTCCATAATGATGATATCATTAACAGCACTACTGTTACTATCAGTAATATGTC